TGCACCCGTTGGGCACCCGACTCGCGTGTCATCCATTCCTTTGAGCCACCTGATGCTCTAGCCATCCCCACCAGGTTCTGCTCCTTCGGCGTGCACCCCGAAACCTCCGATGGCGCGTCCGTTTGCGGCATTTTCTTCCTTGGCCCAAATGCGTCCCGTGCTCGGTCTTGGTAGGGTCGGGGACCACATCTTCATCAATCCCGCCCCCTTTAAGCGCATCCTTGTCCTCAAGGATCGGGATACGCCTCTTGTGCTTGTTCTCTTCATCTACTAGCTCTAAACACCTTAACTCCGCACCTTTAACTGTTCCCATCGGTTTGGTTTTCAACATGATCAATCTCTTGTCCAAATAAAATTCCATTATCCCCTCCTTATAATTTGTTTTGACTTCTCCAAGTCCTTCTAGCCATTGTACCCCAAGGACTATGTCAGGCCCCACCAACGGTAATGAGTAGAGGTCGGCCTTGATGGTCTCGTCTTGAAGATTGATGGGCACGTCTCGATAATACTTATGGCATCGTAGTTTTTCCCGTTGGCAACCCTTAAATCGAATGGATCCATCTTTGTTGCCGGTAACTTCAATGCGTTCGATAATATGGCATCAATGAAATTGTAGGACGACCCGGTATCAACTAACACCTCGATAGATTGCCCTCGGACTGAGGCGGGCAACTTAATGGTTCTCGGCCCATGCACTCCCGACATCGCGTTAACCGAAATTTCCAAGTCCTCCTTGACGTAGTGCCTTGTTTCTACCTCCTCGGGTTCCTCCTCGTCATCGGAATCAACCACTTGTATCATGTACGCTTGCTTGCATCGATGACCCGGTGTGAATCTTTTTCCACACTTGTAACATAGCCCGTTTTCTTTTCGGTTTCTCATCTCGTCATATGATAACTTCTTAACTTAAGGTGGTGGAGGTCGATAATTACCCGAATATTCCCCGTTCATACCTCGGTTGTCGACATGCGCGTCTGACGCCGTGCGGTAAGGTTCGGTGGGATTTGTGTCCCCACGTTTGGCTTTTCGGGTCGCGGCCAAGTGATCGTCCCTCCTTCGTGCAATCTCCATAGCCTCCCGCATTGTTGAAGGCCTCTCAAATCGAACTTCTGCAGCGAGATCAAATTTTAGACCGCCGACGAATGCCCCAACAAGCGCACTCTCGGGCCACCCGCGAACGCGACAAGCAATGCGTTCGAACTCCCATTGATATTCGCGTAGGCTGCCCGTTTGCTTGATGTGCGATAGAGCCTCGTCATAATATGGTAATCCGAAGCTCCAAATCTCGTGATGAGTTCTTTCTCGAAGTCTTCCCATGTTATTGGCTCGTTTCTGTTTTGGTAGATGCTCGAGAGCCATTGTCACCAAACATTGGCCTCGCTGTCGAGGTAATACGCGGCATACCTCACCCAATCTGGTCATTGTGTCTCGTTGAGGTTTAAGTACTGAACGGCTCGGTTTAGACATGCGTCCGGGTCCGTGCCATTGGAAGTGGATAGTACTAGCCTTGGCTTCTCGATCCTTGGTCTCTCCAAGTTGGTCGAGGCTTGCAAGCGGCGATCGAAATCTTTCTCCCTCTCCTCGAACTCGGCCCTCTCGCGTTCATACTCCCTCGATCGTGCCCTTGCTCGTTCTCTTCCTCGTGGTGGTGGTGGTGGTCGAATAATGCGTAACACTTCGTCGATGCGGCGATTCATAGATTCCATCATGCTTTGTTGCGAGTCGTGGATTGAGCGCTCAAGGTGAGCCATGTTGTTGGTCATGCTCGAGTTTGTTGCTTCCAACCCTTCGCTCAAGCTCACCATCCTAGCTTCAAGATCGCCGAGCTTCTCCTTGGTCTTTTTGGCCATAATTTTTTTTTTTTTTTTTTTTTTTTATTATTATGAAAACAAACGAAAATAAAAGAATGTGGAAGAAAAAGACACACGATCTAGCACCTCTCAATGAAAGCACCAATGATGAAGATCGCGTGTCCCGGATATACGTTGCCTCGAAGTTGCGCGCGAACGGCTCCTACTCGGTGACAGTACGGACGACTCAGAGGTTAATCTCCTTATCTTCTCGCGATAGTTGAGACAACTCGGACGTGAATCCTTGCTAAACTCGAGCTTATGACGAACTATGCCGCGAAACGCCCTTTTCGACACAAGGATTTTGTGATAAAACTCTAAGAATTCTAAACACAAGAAGATGAACAAAAAAAAAAGAAGATGAACAAAAGTTCAGATTTTTATTAATATTCAAGATGATTTAAAATAACAAGAGGAATGGCCTTTATATAGGCATCAACTAGATCTAGTCCTAATCTAACTATAACTCTAATAAAGTAAAAGAATATTAAGTAACCTAAACAACCTAGATATCATAATGCCATAAGGAAACTAAATAACTAATGGATCTTGAAGGCCTTGACTTGCACTCCAAGTTGGGAAGAATAATCTAGAGAAGATTCAACTCAAAAAGACTCCTAGATGACTCGATTTCTTGCTGGCCAAGTCGCCCCGCGTGCTGCCCCTGGCAGGTCCCCGCCCGCGCCGCGCCTGCTGCCCG